CAAAAAAAAAGAAGAAAACTGGGGGGCAAGAAAAGCACGCGCGTTTTCGTATTGGACAAGGCTCCCCCCCTCAGAACCTGGGAACGAGAAAAAGGAGGCGCAGTCGAGAGGTATTGTGTCCTCCGGAGGAGGCAGGCGTATATTTTTTTTTTTTTCTATGGTAAAAAAACGGCGAGGCCCCGCTGGACGTGCTCCTGCTGGCTCTGGACCCCACCAGCCGGCTCGTTGTGCTGGGTCTGCTGCTGTTTTTTTTTTTTGTGATTGAGGAGGTCCTTTTCTATTTTGAGGAGTTTGTCCATGACGGAGATGTGGGTGCAAGATGTGTGGATGAAGAGGAAGTGTTGTAGTAGGGTATATATGAAGCTGTTATCAACAAAATGATATTTCTCAGGTAGTTTGAGGACATGGAACAGAGGCAAAAGTCACACCATGCAAGGCAGGCACTAGGTAGGTAGATAAGTAAGGTAAGGTACCTAGGGAAGGCTGTCACGTTGCCATACCTTCCCCTCAGATACCTCTGGGCAACATGTAAATTGGCAGCTACTGCCAGATGCCTTCCACCCCACTTGAGCTCCCGCCGGCACTGACAGCTCCATGACGCGCTGGGGGGTCGTCCATCGACAGCGGCTGAACCTACCACGAAGCTACCCCACTACCGCTGCCGCTCCAAGCCCACCATCACCTGTAACCCGCCCGCGCAACAGGGGACCGCGGTCCCTCTAGGGGAGAAACTATCGGATCAGCGTCCTGCTGGGCCAATTGTGTTTTTGACCGACGTGTTCAATGGCCTGAGCCAAGCTGCACGGATTCAGCTCCAGAAGCAGCACATCCAGGATTTCTTTCTTGACACCCCCCTCACTTGCTGCTCTCCTCCGCTTGGCGGTGAAACGACCCAAGTTTTCCAAGCATGCAGGTCGTTTCCCGCCTGTCAGACTATGTCGTGCTCCCTTCGTGCCTCCCATCATGTTGTACAGATGAAACCTTGTCGTTGTCGTTGTCGTTGTCAGCGTCTGGCTTCTTCAGCTTCTGCTGCTCCCCCCCGCACCTTGTCCTCTGTCCCTGGCATAGGCTTTGCTGCTTCACAGCTTGCCCCGTTCTCGTTGGCCATGCGCTGCTTTCTGCGCGTGTAGTTCGTTCCGATGCCACCATCAGCGCAGTAACGGGCCATAGGCACAGGCCATGACCATGGCACTGTAAATTCGTTTCTTCGTCAGGAAGCCCTTTCCTTCTACTCCGCCATGCCGCCTCCTCCTATCCTAGGACTGTTTCTTGACCTTCTTTTCCTTCTTCGCCCACCGCAGGCCGCACGCGTTGCATAGCGTCTTTGGGCCCACTGGGACCCTTCCGCCACTCGGCGAGTCAAACGTACCTGTCACCCACAGGGATTAGCACGGATATTCATATGAGAAAAACGAACTCAATCAGAGTG